TAAATCAAAAGTTATTTAGCTTCAAAGTTTTTAAAAAAATTAGCTTTACTTATAGATTCCAAAAATCAGAGCATATGAGCATTATGATTTAATTCTATTATTTATGGATAGGGGGTGAAGCTAATTTACTTCAGACCTAGTCTTAGCTAGACCGGTCCAAGACCTCTAGGCTGTGTCACAGATGTTAATTGGTTTTGTATTACCCATGATATATTTATGAATCCACCTGAAAATGCTTATATGTTTTTCGTTAATTGAATTGTCTTTAAGAGAGTTTACTGAAATCTGTATTTGCCGATTGGTCTGTACTTGAGTGATAGTACGACTTGGTTTCCAAATCTCTTGATTAACTTTTTTTATTATTTCATGATGGAGGTTTGCAGTTGCTTCGGAACGATTCAGTAGGGAGGTTTCCTTAGTTATAAGTCCTAATAGTAAAGCATTATTTATGTGATTGTAGAAAAATTGCTCAATTAAGGTATTAGTATTCGTTAGATTAATTGCGTATTTGTTTAAAATTTGTTGTAATTGTTCCATTATAATTGTTCTAAATATTGTTGAATTTGTCTAGCACATGATCCAGTGTGTGTTGTTTTCCTGGTGAAACCCACAGCGTAGACATGAAAGTACAGGGTTAGTAGTTGGATTTCTTTGATGTAGTATTAATCTATTAGGTAGTTCGTTTGTAATAAGCTTTATCTTAAAGTTCTTCATATTCGACATTGCAGTGCTTGTATATCGCTGATTAGTTTTATCTTCTCAGTTAAGTGACTTGAAGGATGTTTTCCAGTCAATGTAAATGTTGTTGGTTTCCATTTTTTGATTCTGTTTTGTTGTACTCATTTATTTATGTTGGTAGCTTTTACTAGATCTTTTAGGAGTAATTTAAGTGGGATATGGATTGGATATCCGTAGATCATTGGCGTGAAGAAACTATATATGAATTCTCTCAGATTGAATTCTGTTTGTAATATTGTATTATTGCTTTTCTTGATGTTTGTGCCTAGTGTAGCTTTAAAGGTTAAATTCTTTTAATTTGTTAGTCAATGTAGGACGACCAGATATAGCATAAATATGTTTATATTGGGTTTGCCTATGTTGTCTCTGTTCCAGGTCTTTAAGTCTTCTATTATAGAGATTATACTTTTTGAATTTGTGTATATAGCCATGTTATTATTATAATTTGCTATTGTTGCTAACATTATTAATGTAGTTAATGTGACCTTTTTTGGCTGATTTCAATACATATTGCTTAATTGGAATAATTCAGAATTAAATTTAATTACTGCTACCAGGATAGTAATGTCTTTTTTAATAGTCGTAATTAAGATATCGACTGTTGATATGGATTGTGATGTTGCTAATGCCCAGATCTTATTGTTAATATTTGAGAATGCTTGGCTTATATCGTATGATAGTTAAAATCTTTGTGGAATGTATGGTCGATTGTGCAGTCGGTTTGCTGTTTGAGTTGGAGGGTTGTTGAATTGCTATATATCTGCGTGCCAAATCTTTTTGCTGTCAACCATGATTTTGTATAATTTCCCTGGTATAATACTGATTGTGCATTTTTTTCCTGTGTTTAGTCTACAACCTATGCATTTATTTAACTGATTGTTATTGTCTGCTATCCAGTATTGGATAGTGAATTTGTTATTGTAGGGTGCCTTAACTTTTCCTAACAGTTTGTCTTGTGTGATTACCCATTGTTTTTTTTGATTTTTGTTGATTTGTTGTCAAATGTATGGGTTGGTGTTGGTCAAATTAGTTGATAGTGATATCTGGGATTCTATTGCATCTTGCATGAGGTTAAACCAACGTGGTTTCCTTCCTCTTGGTATTTTGGAAATATTATGGTGGAATTGTCACCATGTGACAAATTTCGTGCAATTAAAGTTTAAAAATTGGTTTATAGCAAAAACTTTATGTTTGTATAACTAGTCTTTAATCCTGTTACAGTTTGGAATGTTTTGTAGTATATTATTGATAGAGGTTCCCGGGAATTGTAAGGCTTTTGGCCAGGATGTCGGTGGTCCTTGGAAGCTAAAATTTGAGTTTAGTGCCGATTGTATGATCTGCGCTATAAATGTTGATTGTTGATCAGAGGTGAACACTAGGATTGAGTTGAGTCTATTAGTTAAGATTTTTGTTAGAATTTTTCATATATGTTCTATTAGTGTAATCAGTCTAGTTCTATCTAGGTTGCCTTGTGTGAACCCGCTTTTTGCTATTGGTCATACTAGTCTCTGGCGCCAGCTATTTGGTATGGTCGAGTATTTGAGACATGCATTAAAGATATTAAGTATAAGGGATAGTGCAATTGGTGGCAGGTGTGCTAGCATTTCATTGGATATTAGAGATGGTCCTGTAGCTTTATTTTTAGGTGCTTGTTTAATTGTATTCACTAACTCATTAATTGTTATCAGCTCTGTTAAAGATAAGTATTGTTGAGGGTTGACATTTGGTAATGGTTCATAAAATTTTTCCCATTGAGGCCATAGGCTCCAGTCAGTTGGATTAGGGTTCGTTCAAGTTTCAAAATATTTCGAGGTTGCCTTTTTAATCTCTTTTAGTTCTACGATTACTGATGTTGATGTTGTGATGTTGATAGAATTGGATGTGTTGCTGCTGTCTTTTGAGAATACTGTTGATCATCTTGGTAGTGTTATCCTTGCCTTTTTATGATTCTATTGTGAATGAGTTGTTTTTGGTATTGCTGATTTTCTAAATTTCTTGCTTGGTAGAGTGCTCTCCTGAGTTCTTTAAGTTTTGCCTGTGTCTTGTGCAAGTTAGTATTATTGAGGTCGGATGCTGCTATTGTATCTATTATAGTGTTTAACTAGATTTTGTTTAGATTCTCATTTATTACCTTGAGAATGAAGGTTTCAGAAAGAGGTGACGGTTGATTTATAATATTTAGAATGTGGTTAATGCTCTTAAAACTCTTATGAAGCTAGGTTGCTTTAAGTGTGAACGGCTGGAAATGTTTGGACCATATGAATCTAGACAGTAGGTGTTTGTTAGCTGCTTGCTTTATGATTTGCTGAATATTCATCCAGGTCTTATCAATGTCTTGTTGTGTGGCTAGACTATAGTAAGTTGATGATACTCTAGCTAAATGTGTATTAATATATTTTGTGAAGTCTTGCCAGTCTTGTTCTATTTTAGGGTAAATGAATATTTTTCGTTTAAGCTTTTTTGTACGTGGTATGTGTAGACTACTAGGTATTGTCCATTGTGATAGTATAATTTTATGATCACTGTTAGTCATAGAATATGAATAAATTATTGTAGGTTGGTTAAAATCTAGGGTGATTTCCTGGTTTGTCCAGATGTCATCGATTTGGCTAGATAAATTGTTGGTCTGCCAGGTTGGAGTAGTGATGTCATTGAAGTTTAACAAACTTATTAAATTAGAATTCATTAAGTAGGAAATAAGAATGGATGGATTTTTTTTGAGATGTTTGAATTAAAGTCTCCTGTGATAATTATATGATAGTTGTGAGCTCTTGCTTGTTGGATCCAATCAATTACTGTTGGCTTAGCAACCTTAACTTGGTTCGTTATAGTAGATGAGATATAGACTCCTATTAATCTAGTTTTGTTGTTATTAGGGAAAAAGAAATCGATTGCCAGTGCTTGTCCTGGTATTGTTTTAATATTATATATATAGGGCTGAAAGATTGGTTTTAGTGCAATAGCTACTCCTTTCACTGACTGTCGCTGGGAAGCATCGTATTCATCGCAGTTTGCTATAAATATCTTAAACCAAGGGTTCATTAAGCTTGAGGGGTGTGTGTGTGTAGCTGACAGTTTAGTTTCAGTCATAATAACAATATCTGAATTTAAACTATAGCAGTGTTGGAGCCAAGTAATATATTTAAGGTTGTTGTTAATTTCTTGTACGTTGTGGATCATAATATTTAGGTTTGTATCACCATATTTTAAGAAAGGGGATTGATTACGGTAATTAATAATAGATCTACTTTGTGTAACTGTTTGAGTTGTAGTATTTTGTTGTATAGTGTCTTGTACTTGGGAATAGTCTATGTTGGTAATATCATTCAACTGAGAGTTGGTTATTTTTTTTTGGTCTTTGATCATAATGGTGCGTAATTTTCAACGATGTTCCATTCTGGTGGTGGTAGGTCAGGTAGTTCATGTATGTATGACAGCGTATTTAGGATGTTAAAGTAAGTGCTGATGGTGTTAAAAGTAGATTCGATCAATGTATAATCTTTAATTAGTAGTTGTATTTTTAGATCTGGATCTAATGTTGCTAATTGTTGTATTAGTTCAGTGATGTTTGGTGGTAGTGATAGTTTACTATCTGATGTTTTAGCTTGGTTATGCTTTTCGATTTGTATCCAATCTGCTGGGAGTTGATAGAAAAAGTAATGATTACGGAGTTCTCTAGCAATATCTACTAGTTGTTTTGGTGATGTTATCGATATTGTTAGGCTCATCTCTTTTATTTTGGTATGGTCGTCGGGTAAGTTGGGTTTATTGGTATAGTTTATTGTGATATAATTAATTGGTATATGGTCTGGTATGCGGTATTCATTCGCAATTTCTGCTATGAATTGAAGTATGCTAGTTTTGTCTTGTAATGGAAAGGTGAAGTTTCTAATTGTTGTTACTTGAAAGGGTTGTAATGGAAGTGGCTTTTTGTTAATAATATAATTACTTGGTAGTCTCTTGAATTTGTAATATTGTCGTAATTTTGATACTAGATCCCTGAATTTGCTCTCATCTTTGGGTTTGCATGGGAACAGGTGTCTAACATTCGAATTGAGTTCTTGTGGTGTCGATGGAAGAGTGGCTTTTTCTGGTGGTAGATCAAAGTATAGTGGAGGAATCTTCTCTTTGACTATATAGTATTTTTGAAGTCTTCGGCGATATTCAGCCAAGTATTGGAGTTCACTTCTTTCTTTTATTGGGAATAGTGCTCTGATGCTGGGGTGTAGTTTACTTGGGTGGTCTGAGAGTGGGGTTCTTGCGATTACAAAGTAAGAATCAGGTAGGTTCTGGAATTTGTAGATGAGTCTAAGTGCTTTAACAACTGCTGCTGTTTTACTGTTGTCTTCTAGGGAAAGTGAGAAAGGTAAGATATCGATTATATCTACGGGAATTTCATTTGGTCTTTGGGGAAGGTCATGTTTCATGTCTGTCTGGGCTTGGCCAATTAGCCTTCTAGCTTGTTCAAATTCAATTGTAGATTGGATTTTTCTGAAATTCATAAGGTAGTAAATATGTTGTGCACTGGTGTGATCACCAAGGAGGTCGATGTTAAGTGTGAGGATGTCGTCAATAGCAATCTTTTTTCTTAGTTTATCATATATTTGGTCACAGTTATTTTTATTGATTAGGTAGGCCTTATATTTACGTTTGTATTTCTCAAGTGCGATATTAATTAGGGATACGTATCACTTCACCAACACTCCTTTCGTAGAAACAACACTTCACCGAAATCACTTCACCGACATGTTTAACTCATAGACATTTAATTCACCGACAATCAAATCCTCGAAATGTTCATTTTACCGACATGTTTATTTTGTCGACACTAAACTCACCGACATTTAATTCACCGACAAACTTAATTTGCCGAAAAGCTTATTTCGTCGACATTACAACTCACCGACAATTACTTCACCAAAAAGCTTAATTTACTGAAAAATTCATTTTGTCGACAATACGTTTCACCGACAATTAATTCACCGAAATCTCATTCTGTAGACTGCACAATTCACCAACAATTACTCCACCGATAGCTTATTTCACCGACAAGTACAAAGCAAATTATTTTATGTGAAAAAAAAGAAAAATCAAGGTTGAAGCAAGCTATTTATGTGAAAATAAGAAAAGTGAAACATGACCTTAATTATGCCGTAACAAAGACCTTGACTAATTTTATTAAAAAAAAGTCATGATTAGTAAAAGATGAAGCGATCTATTTATGTGAAAATAAGAAAAGCGAAACATGACCTTAATTATGCTATAACGAAGACCTTGACTAATTTTATAAAAAAAAAAGTCATGATTGAAGCGACCTATTTATGTGAAATTAAGAAAAGCGAAACATGACCTTAATTATGCCGTAACGAAGACCTCGACTAATTTTATAAAAAAAAAGGTCATGATTAGTAAAAAATGAAGCGACCTATTTATGTGAAATTAGGAAAAGCAAAACGTGACCTTAATTATGCCGTAATGAAGACCTTGACTAATTTTATAAAAAAAGTAAGAGTTGAAACAAGCTATTTATATGAAAATAAGAAAAGCGAAACGTGATCTTAATTATGCCGTAATGAAGACCTTGAATAATTTTATGAAAAAAAAGTCATGATTAGTAAGAGTTGAAGCGACCTATTTATGTGAAATTAAGAAAAGTGAAACATGACCTTAATTATGCTGTAACGAAGACCTTGACTAATTTTATGAAAAAAAAGTTATGATTAGTAAAAGTTGAAGCGACCTATTTATGTGAAAATAAGAAAAGCGAAACGTGACCTTAATTAAGCCGTAACAAAGACCTTGACTAATTTTATGAAAAAAAAAGTCATGATTAATAAGAGTTGAAGCAAGCTATTAATATAAAAATAAGAAAAGCGAAACGTGACATTAATTATGCTATAACGAAGACCTTGACTAATTTTATTAAAAAAGAAAGTTATGATTAGTAAGAGTTGAAGCAAGCTATTTATGTAAAAATAAGAAAAGCGAAACGTGACCTTAATTATGCTATAACGAAGATCTTGACTAATTTTATGAAAAAAAAAGTCATGATTAGTAAGAGTTGAAACAAGCTATTTATGTGAAAATAAGAAAAGCGAAATGTGATCTTAATTATGCCGTAACGAAGACCTTGACTAATTTTATGAAAAAAAAAATCATGATTAGTAAGAGTTGAAGCAACCTATTTATGTGAAATTAAGAAAAGCAAAACATGACCTTAATTATGCTGTAACGAAGACCTTGACTAATTTTATGAAAAAAAAGTTATGATTAGTAAGAGTTGAAGCGACCTATTTATGTGAAAATAAGAAAAGCGAAACGTGACCTTAATTATGCTGTAACAAAGACCTTGACTAATTTTA